TCCAAAGTTGACTGAATTTTTACACCTGCTCTGTTTTTCTACTTGATGAAGTAGCAACTTGAGACTGGAATTTGACTGATTTATGGACAGAATCTTACAAATATGTATTCTGAAAAATTGTAGTCCTTTGAGTCTATGTTCCAATGGTATAAATTTTATAAATTTTGGACTTAAGACGCTTGTGATACGATTTTTTCAAACAATGTCGCGCAAAACTGGAGAAAATTCTGTTTCCAAATGTATGCATGCTGATCGGTTTTCTTGAGTTTATTTCTCTTCACTTTTTGGTTTTTTTTTTATGAAAGTTTGGTTCAATCTTGTGTTATAAACTTAGTAGAACTCTTGTGGACTGATTTGTAGCGAAAAACCATGCATTTAATTTGAAGAAAACTTGAGTTTTGATTGGCTTTTGAGTTGAATTTTCTGATTTTTGGGTATGGAACAGGGCTGCTGTTTTGGCCTTGTTTTGCCTTCGATTTGTGATAGTTTGGACTTGAAATCGCTTGTACTATTTGCCAACACATAATACTAGAGTTGTGTGTCGATTTGGTCATAAACTGATTACTCAAAGGGAGCGAAAATTAGCTATTTTTCACTGCCATAAAACTGGAAAATTTCCAGTATTTGTACCCTTTTCATGTATTTATTGTTGTTCTTAGTTTTTGATCCGAGAAACATTCTTTTCGCCCCAAACCTTGCTTGAATCATAAACCTAATGTGTATTGGTGATTTCCTTGAACTTGCATCTTCGCGTAGGTTTTAAAACTTATGTCCTTTTGAAATCTCTTTTGGGTCATTTGTCGCTTCGAAGTCGAGTCGCTTTAGTAGCTCTCTCGATCATTCCTTCTTTTGTTTAGTTGCTCTAGTTGGAATCTTAAAGTTTCGTACTTGCTTGAATATAAGTTTTGGTGTGGAAAACAAGAACCTTGGTGGGACCATTTGATTTGCTCTGCTTTGTCGGTAAGTGTTCCAATGCATGTTATTTGATTATGCATGACTTGAGAAAATGCTATTATTTGCTTAAGTGCTCTCCTGTGAATGACATCCGAATAAGTGAATGACTGTTGTGATTTTCTTGACTTTCTAATTTGCTATGAGTGCATGTTCACATTGCATGAATGCGTGATAAATATGCAAGAATATAGGTCGATGTGTACTTTATCGCATAAGCTGAACTGAGCTTAACCCCATGCTGGCACCTTATCGGAGACCTGCCATTTGCGAGGTCGGATTAGCTGGATAGCTTTGGATTTATAACTTACCAATGTTAAGCGCAAAACTCAAAACTCTTTGCCGAAAGGTCTTGAGTACAATGTTAAATGTTTAATGTTAAATGAGAGGATTGTAGATTTTTTTGGAGGGCATAAGGTGAATGTTAAATGAGGGGATTGTTGATCTTTCAGAGGACATAAGGTGAAAGTTTGGAGGTTATAAGGTGGTAAAATGTTGGGGATTGTTTATTGGCAGTTATAAGGTGAATGTTGCTCCCTGTGAGCTCGTATCCTTTTAATGTTTAAATTATTGTTCATCCTTGTATTTACTTGAACGAATGATTGAATACACGCATGAATGTTATTGTTTATCAAGTATTTTACATTGAAAGAGTCCTATTTCAATTAATTGCTCCTCTACCAGTTTCTAATGTTGAGTATTGATTTACTTGAACCTATATTACTTGGAAAAACGTGTTTACATGTTAAATTGTGTTATTCTCTTATTTGGCCTGTTTACCTGGAATGCTCATTGGGCGTAAGTTCATCCCACGTTTTGTTTTTCCTTAACAGGATTCGAATCCGAGAGTGCTTAAGGATACTGTTAGAATGTTTGAGAGACTTTAAGTTTTATTTTAGTAGAAATGACTGTAGTGTATATATTTTTTGGTTGTAATTAAGATAGGCACCGAATGATGAATCTTTTGTACGCGAACCTATGTAATAGCTTTTAGATGTATGTAAATATTATTTGGGGGTGTAATGAATATTATTTTGGTTAGTTTAGAAAATTCAAGAGATACTTGCTATGGATTGTAGTGAGTCCCAATGAGAGTTAGACAGGTGATTTGTTGACCCTTTTGGTTCACCTTTGGGAAAAGTGGGGCTATCACACCTGTAGTCATGGATAAAAGGTATCTTAGTGAAATACTACTAGGGATAACATGTCTTCATACAAAAGACTTGAACTCACCATTCCAGTTTTAGCAGCACTTGAATTGCTTTTCAAACTTCTAGTTTTAGCATCACCCGAATTGGTACTTGGTTTTTTAGTTCTTGCTGTAGCTGTTGCTTTGGAACTTGGACTTGGTAAGTTGATGGTAGCTACAATAGTAGTTGCACTTAAATTGGCACCAAATGTTGATGTTCTTGTCCAATTGATAGGGAGATAATTGCGCGTTTTAATCGCTGTTATTTGGTCCTAATTTTGGTCACTTAATGTGCAAAACACTGGATTTCTGCCCATATGTGGTATTTGTGTTGTCTGCAGGAGAGTGGTGTTAAAAGCGACACAAGAGGGGCAAATTCCAGAAGATCAGGCCTTCTCTGGCGTGCCCACACCAGACAACGCAGAGTAGCGTGAAAAAGACGGAGTACGCGACCCTACTCCCTAGAGGCTGCCGCAATTGTAGCTATGTGGGATTAGGAAGCTTTTCCGAAGGAGACTTTTGGAGACAACTCAAGGAGAGAAATAAAAAAAAACCCTTTGGAGAAACAAATTCCAATTCAACAAGCAAAGAAACGTGGGGTAACACTATAAATAGGAGGACTGTAATAGATTAGGGGATATCTTGGCCCTGGACTTTTCTCTTTGTTTTTTTTCTTCTTTTTGAACGCACGTTGTCGGCCGAATCTTTTACTCCTTCAATTAACGAAACTCCATGAAAACTTTGAATTGCTTTGTTGTCATGATTATGCGGCAAGGCTAGATCGTTTATTTAGTTGAGAAGTAATCGAGGGCCGGAACACAACCAATTGTGAGATCATTTTTATTATTCTAAGTTTTACGTTCGTGGGTATTTAATTATTCTTTGTTCGAATTGCTTGTTATTGTTTAGATATATTGAATTAATATGGCCAGTTGTTCAGTTGTCTAAATAATATACCGCCAATTAGGACAGGGGTGCGTATCACTTGAATGTTTTAAATTAGTGGCAAACGGTACCAATTTCATTGCCTCGCAAGCAGTGTAATCTGGATCGTAGGAATAATTAATCTAGTTTAAATGAACCCGCATGCGTGTTTGTTAACTAGAATTGGGTCTCTCTAATTCCTAAAGCTGTAATTAGATTAAATCTTTCGAGCGTCTCTGGGGTTATCTATTTTACAAGAGGGTAGTTTACGAGCGTCTCTGGACTACCATATAATTAAGGAGAGATTGGGAGTTTGGCGGTTGCTAAATTGCTAGAACCGATTTATTTGTGAACGTGTGAATTATCCCTGGTATCGGTGATCAATTGTGTGAACCGGCGCCCAGATTATCTCCTTGATTAGGTTGTGTCAATTAATTGTTTATTTCATTCTTGAGTTATTGCATTTATTGTGATTGTTCATTTAGTAATTTTAAGTCTTTAATTTGTTTCACTTATCTCTCTCTCTTTAAAAAATTCCCCAATTATCTGTGTGTGATAAATCTATCAGTTCCCTGTGGAGACGACCCTACTCACTACTATACTCATTCAGTTTTGGGAGTAGGTATCATTATAAATTTTATTTTTGGTTGTTTGACAGCCACCAAATTTTGGCGCCACTGCCGGGGACCTGGTGCTTGAAGTGATTTATTGCACAGGCTAGTGTGGCCTTGTTTTATGCCTCGATCTTCCCGTACAGGAAGACTCGAGTTCGACCCGGAGATCGAGAAAACCGCCAGGAGGTTGACAAAGGAGACAATTTGCAAAAGCAACAAACCTCAACAGCACAACCATCTGAACTTGAGCAAAACTTTCACTTTGGTGACACATCATTGAACTGGAAACAAATTCGCCTAGACCCAACGAAACAATGGCAGCCCAAAGAACCTTGAGGGAGCTTGCAACCCCGAATGTTAACCAACAGCCTCTGTGCATCACGTACCTTGACACTGAGGAGGCTTTTGAATTAAAATCTGGTTTGATTCACTTATTACCTACTTTTCGTGGTGTTGCAGGAGAGGACCCACACAAGCACTTGAAGGAATTCCATGTAGTGTGTTCAACCATGAGACCTCAGGGAGTCACTGAGGAACAAATCAAGTTGCGTGCCTTTCCGTTTTCCTTAGCAGATAAGGCTAAGGACTGGTTGTTCTACTTGCCATCGGGGTCCATCACTACGTGGGAAGCATTAAAACGACAATTCCTTGAGAAGTTCTTCCCAGCCTCCAGGGCCGCCAACATCAGAAAGGAGATATGTGGAGTTAGGCAAGCAAATGGAGAGATTCTCTATGAATACTGGGAGCGGTTCAAACAACTGTGTGCCAGTTGCCCACATCATCAAATTCCTGACCAACTGTTAATCCACTATTTCTACGAGGGACTCCAACCCATGGATAGGAGTATGGTCGATCCAGCTAGTGGAGGAGCTCTAGTTAATAAGACAACAGATGAAGCCAAGTTGTTGATCTCAAATATGGCCGAGAATTCGCAACAGTTCGGAGTCAGGTTCGAGGGCATAACTAGGAGGGTCAATGAGGTGAATCATTCTGACTTGGCAAATAAGTTAACTGAGCTAACTGCCTTGGTTCGTCAAATGGCAGTGGGGCAGGTACAGGCAGTTAAAACCTGTGGGATATGTGCTGCTCCTGAACATGCGACCGATATGTGCCCGACTCTTCAAGAAGATCCGTACGAGCAAGCCAGTGCCATGGAAGGCATGTTTGGACCTCCCCAAAGAAGAAATGACCCCTATGCACCCACATACAATCCAGGGTGGCGAAATCACCCCAACTTCAGCTATGCTCAGAAACCTTCGGGTTTCCAGCAATCATTCCAGCAGAGGCCACCTGTACAGTAACCATCCTCATCTAATGCAAGTATGTCTCTGAAAGATATGGTTAAGTTATTGGCTGATAGCACTTGTCAAATGCGGCAGGAGTCGCAGAGATTTGAACAGGAAACTCGGGCGAGCATTAGAAATTTGGAGGTACAAATGTCGCAATTGGCATCTTCAATGAGCAATTTTGAGAGTGGTAAAGGGAAGTTACCATCTCAGGTAATTCCTAATTCGAAGGAGAATGCAAGTGCAATGATTCTACGAAGTGGAAAGGAGGTGCAATCCTTAAAATCGAAAGCAGCAAGAAATGGAGATGAACAAGTGGCCGAGGAGCCCGAAAAAGAGAAGGTAAGGACTCCACCACCCATTCCTAAGACATTCGACATAAACGCCCCTTTTCCTGACAGGTTTGCTAAAACAAAGAAAGAGGAGTCGGAGAAGGAGATTCTGGACACCTTTCGGAACGTGGAAATTAACATTTCATTGCTAGAGGCGATTAAGCAATTACCAAAGTATGCAATGCTTCTGAAAGGGTTGTGCACTAACCGGAACAAGCTGAATCTCCAAGACAAGGTAAGGGTAGGTGAAAATGTGTCTGCAGTCCTCCAAAGAAAGTTACCACAAAAATGCAAAGATCCAGGTATGTTCACAATACCATGCATCATAGGCCAGAAAAGGATAGAAAAAGGTATGTTTGATCTGAGAGCGTCTATCAATGTTATGCCTATGTTTATCTTTAAGGCCTTGAATTTAGGACCTCTAAAAGAGACGAGGGTAATAATTCAACTAGCAGACAGATCCAATGTCTACCCCGAGGGTGTAGTTGAGGATGTCTTAGTAAAGGTTAATGAGTTTATCTTCCCTGCTAATTTTTACATCGTTGACACGAATGATGATCACTCAGTTAACTCGGCCGTACTTCTTCTGGGTAGACCATTCATGAGTACTGCTAGGACCAAAATAGATGTGCATAAAGGTACACTGTCTGTAGAGTTTGACGGGGAAACGATTACATTTAATATTTTTGATGCAATGAAGTACCCGGATGATACTGAATCTGTTAACTATGCTGGTATAACTAATTCCATTGTCCAAGATCATCTTGAGCAAAATTTTAGGGAGGACAAGCTGGAATTTGTGCTACAGCAAAGTAAGACGAATACAAACATGGAAAGTGAGGATGAGAAGGATACTATAGAAGCCATTATGTCACTACACTCGCTTCCTGCGCTTCTCGACAGGTCAATAGACTCATTCCTACCATTGCCTACTTCTAATAAAAGAATTTTACCTTCTGTGGAACAGGCTCCCGAGCTGGAATTGAAGGAGTTGCCGACACATTTGAAGTATGCCTACCTTGGAGGTCACAACACCCTGCCGGTCATCATCGCAAATGATTTGACCGCGGTACAAGAGGAAAAACTCCTAAGGATTTTGCGGGAGTATAAACCAGCAATCGGATGGACGTTGGCAGATATTAAAGGTATCAATCCATCCGTATGCATGCATCAAATTCGCCTTGAACCAGAGGCAAAATCGGTGACAGAGCGACAGAGAAAGCTCAACCCGGCCATAAAGGAGGTGGTGATGAAGGAGATTCTCAAGCTTTTAGAGTTAGGACTAATTTTTCCTATCTCTGATAGTGAATGGGTGAGCCTAGTTCATGTCGTCCCTAAGAAAACCGGCATCACCCTTGTGAGGAATGAGAAGAACGAGTTGGTGCCAATGAGACTCCAAAATGGATGGAGAATGTGTATCGACTTTAGAAAGTTGAATGCGGCAACAAGGAAAGATCACTTCCATTACCATTCATAGATGAGATGCTTGAAAGGTTGGCAGGTAAGTGTTTCTTTTGTTTTCTAGATGGCTACTCTGGGTACTATCAGATTACGGTTGCCCAAGAAGACCAACACAAAACAACTTTCACTTGCCCTTTTGGCACTTTTGCCTACCGTCGTATGCCTTTTGGGTTGTGTAATGCTCCGGGGACCTTTCAAAGATGCATGATGAGTATTTTTTCTGATATGATTGAAAATTGCATCGAAATATTCATGGATGATTTCACAGCTTATGGTGATTCTTTTGATCAATGCTTGCATCATTTGACAAAAGTTTTACAGCGGTGCATTGAAACGAATTTGGTCCTTAATTACGAAAAGTGTCATTTTATGGTCAAAGAGGGTATTGTTTTGGGCCATGTTGTTTCATCTAGGGGTATTGAGGTCGACAAGGCGAAAATTGATTTGATTACTAACTTACCTTACCCTACTAATGTCAAAGAGGTTCGTAGTTTTCTTGGTCATGCAGGGTTCTAGAGAGGTTTCATAAAGGACTTCTCACGAATCGCACAGCCATTGTCTCAACTGTTTCAAAAGGAAGTAGCATTCGATTTTGGAGAAACTTGTAGACTGTCTTTTGATACACTAAAGAGTATGTTGACCACAGCACCAATCATTCAACCTCCAGACTGGAACCTACCCTTCGAGCTTATGTGTGACGCCAGTTAATACGCGGTGGGAGCTGTACTCGGTCAGAGAAGTAGGAATTGTAGTCATGTCGTCTACTATGCTTCAGAAACGTTGTTTTCAACACAATATAACTACACCACCACTGAGAAGGAGCTTTTAGCCATTGTTTTTGCTTTTAAGAAATTTAGATCATATTTGTTGGGATCTAAAGTAACGGTTTGCTCTGACCATGCAGCTTTGAAATACCTTTTGGCAAAGGAGTCCAAACCAAGGCTTATTCGTTGGGTACTTCTATTGCAAGAGTTTGACTGGGAGATCAAAGATCGGAAAGGGGTGGATAACTCAGTGGCAGACCATTTAAGTCGATTGATTAGAGATGAAGAAGGGGTGCCCATATCTGAGGTATTTCCAGATGAACATTTGTTTCAGCTTAGAGGTAAGGAGCCCTGGTATGCTGATATTGTCAATTTTTTGGTCAGTCATAGATTTCCAAGTGGTATGAGTATGAGTAAGAGTAAGAAGGATAAAATTATCCAAGATTCCCGATATTATATTTGGAATGAGCCCTATTTATGGAAAATAGACTCCGACCAAATTATTCGGCGATGTGTTTCACATGAGAAAATTCCCTCTATACTCACTCATTGCCATAGTTATGCTTGTGGGGGGCACTTTGGCTCCAAGAGAATTGCTAGGAAAATACTTGACTGTGACTTTTATTGGCAAACCTTGTTTCGTGATGCTTATTTATTTTGTAAAGGATGTGAAAACTGCCAAAAGTTCGGGGGTTTATCTCACCGGGATGAAATGCCCCAGGTTCCTATGTTATTATGTGAAATTTTTTATGTCTGGGGTATGGATTTCATGGGACCGTTTCCTAGTTCTTTTGGTTGTCTTTATATCCTTTTAGTTGTCGACTATGTGTCAAAATGGGTTGAAGCAAAGGCTACCCGGACTAATGTTTCACGAGTTGTTGTAGGATTTCTTAAATCCCATATTTTTAATAGGTATGGTGTACCACGAGCAATCATCAGTGACCAGGGAACCCACTTCTGCAATCGCACCATTGAAGCATTGATGCGTAAATATGGAGTTCACCATCGAGTTAGTACAACCTACCACCCGCAAACTAACGGGCAAGCTGAGGTCTCTAACCGAGAGGTCAAGAGTATCCTGGAGAAAATGGTCAACCCAAGTAAGGATTGGAGTACCCGATTGGATGATGCACTATAGGCGTACCGCACAGCATATAAGACACCAATCGGAATGTCTCTGTATAGGCTGGTTTTTGGTAAAATGTGTCATCTACCTGTGGCTATTGAACATCGGGCATTTTGGGCAGTTAAGCAGTGCAATTTGAACGCAGATAGAGATGGAAAGGAAATGAGACTCCAACTTCAGGAGTTGGAAGAAATCCATTTGGACGCCTACGACAATGCCAACTATACAAAGAGCGCACAAAGTCTTTCCATGATCGACTAGTGCGCACTAAGCATTTCTCTATGGGGCAGAAGGTGCTTCTATTTAACTCACGGTTGAAATTCATGCCAGGTAAGTTGCGGTCCCGCTGGATTAGACCGTATGTTGTTGTCAACGTGTTTCCCAATGGTGCGGTTGAGATTAGAAGTTTAGAGACTGACAAGAGCTTTAAGGTGAATGGCCATAGTCTCAAGCCATTTTTGGATATGTCAGAAATTGGTACTGTGGAGGAGGTCCATCTACTCGACCCCAGTTCTAATTAAGTGTTGATCTCCCCATCGTCTGGCCACAGACGTTAACTAGAGGCGTTGCTTGGGAAGCAACCCAAAAGTTTCTTTTTGTTTGTCGTGTCTAGAATTTTTATTCCTTGTTTGTGTGTTTTAAATCAAGTTATTAGGATTCCTATTGATGACGACCTGTATTGTAGGTTTTGGGGTGTGCTCCGTACAGTTTTGTATTAGGTTGGGGGGCACAAATTCGGGAGCTGACGACTTTATGTTACACGGCGTGCCCGCGCCTTGTATTCACCACACATTGACATTTGTATCAGTTGGTAAATAAGGGACTTACACTTTCAAGGCATGCCCACACTCTACTGGTACGCGCCAGTGGACCAGTTCCAAGCAATTGCTGACTGGATGACTTTCGTTCCCAAAGCATGCCCACGCCGCACAGCATCTCGCGTTGGTCATGCTCCAAGACATTGGTCAGACGACTCCACACTATAACGCGTGCCCACACCATCCTCATCATGCCCAACAACTGCCAACGATGGTCCCTACTTCCCTTTTACTTTTCTCACTTTTCTCATTCTTTTCCTAGTTTTTCCCTTTGTGATCTTCCTTGGTCTACCCCAGATATTGACCCAAGGTCCACACCGCCGCCACCCAACTTCGAACCAACAACCGCTGCCATCGCACACCACGCCGTGCCGCACGACCGATCGCGCAGCCAACGACCACCGCCGTGCCGCATGACAGATCGCGCAGCCCACGGCCTCCACTGCTGCTGTCCCCTCGCTCTTTCTCGTTTTCGCTCGGCGCGCCGCCATCCTTAACGTGGTCACCGCTCATGCACCGCACCGCCGCCGCTGCTCACCTGCCTCCTCGGGCACGCCGCCGTCGCGCACCACGCAACAGACCGCAGCGCGATAGACACACGGACGCACCTCACTAACCGAGGCCTACCATCGCGACCGACTTGCTTTCGCGCGCACGGTCGTCACTCGCCGTGCCCATTCACCCTGGTGTTCCTCAGTGGTACCCCACTTCCTCTTTCTTGTTGCCGCTTTGTGGCTCAGATCTGGGATTTTTTTTCTGGTTCAATTTTCCATTTTGTGGGTTGACATAACGGTTGGGTTATTGGGAATCATTTGATTGCTGACCACACTTGTGGGTCTGGTGGATCTAATATTTGATACTTGTGGGTTGGTGACTTGTCCATTGGTTGGGGATAGTTGCCTGTTGACTACTATTTTGGGATTTCTTGGCTGCCTTTCTTTACTTTTAATTGTCACAGGCACGCTAGTGGGGCGCTCTGGTGTCCATCCATGCTTTATTTGTTATCTGTTGACTGTGGGTAGTGTATTTGTGGTCCCCTGTCTCCATTTTGGTATTTCTTTGTCAATTTGTGCCTTTGGAATTGCCAAATTTACCCCCTATGGCTCCAAAGCAAACTGCTACATCTGGGGCATCGAGCTCCAATCCTCGTAAGAGGCGGGCCCCGGTCCAACCCCCTACTAGGTCCCGTTTGGGACTGTCCAGGAGTACTTTGTCTCCTGAAGTGTGGGGGGAACCTCTGAAGGACCTCACTCCGGAGCAGCAGCAGCGCGTGAACTCATTGGTGATCCGGCCGTTCGCCCCATGCAAGTGCTTCCACCCCCCAACTCTACACCAGTTGAAGATTGCTCGGGAGGTGGAGCAGTTGTTTACTGCCATAGAGTGGGGTAAGTTTCTGGTTATTGACTGCCCGGCGTATGAGGAGCTCTGCTATGAGTTCTACGCCACCTTCGAGTTTAAGAGGTCCGCTGATCTCGCCTTGGATTCACCGGGAGTTATCACGTATCGGCTGAGAGGCACCCCACAGACCCATTCTATCAACGAATTCAATTTGTTGTTGGGCTTTGTGAGTGAGGACACCATCGCCTCCAGCGCTTATATCAACAGCGCGTACGACTACACTCGACCTTTCGCCACTAACTACATTGAGATCTGGCGGGAGTGGTCCACTGACAGGTAACTCTACGACCCGAGTCAGTCGAAGGCCTCGTATCTTAAGGATCCGGTGCTGAAGGTCGTTCACCGATTTCTGGCCTATAACTTCTCAGGTCGGAAGGATTCTTCCGACACTCTTGCCAAGGCGGAGTTCTATTTCCTCTGGTGCATGCGTAATAAGGCTTAGGTAAATTTTGGTTGCTGGATGGCCTCTCAGTTACAGTCCGTCCTTAGTAAGCGCCATAAGCCCTTGATTATGGGCTCCCTCATCACTTATTTGGCCATGTGCTTGGGAGTCCTCGATCTTGATAAGGAGCATAAGCTTATTTTGGCTCACGAGCTTGAGCCTTTGGATCTGCACAGCCTTGAGCGGATGGGGGTTATTCGCAAAGTGGGGGACGCTTATCAGTTCACATCTCGGGGGAGGGTATTCTCCAGCCACAAGTTCCTTCCACTGTGCCGGACGAGGGTCAGGCGGGCCCATTCCCCTCCACAGCTCCGTCGTCTTGGGACATCTAGTTTCGTCACCTACAGGACTTAGTTACTGATTTGGGTGCTTGGGTAAAGCACTTGGATGGTTGTCTCGCAGCCCTGCAGCTTTTCGCCCGTATCCAGACGGAGAATCAGGCCACTTTCTACGCCCACATTGGCTTTC